ATCTTTATTTTCATGCTAGCTATAGGAAAGTGTGCGGCAAAACCCTGTGTGGGAGGATGAGCGTTGAGCGTAGCCTCTGCATACAAAGACTCTACACACGCACAAGCAAATTAAACCACGAAAAATCTGCTTATGAAGTCTGCTGGTTTGAGCAGGACCTGTCGTTATTGGTTCAAACATATTCAAAGGGTGACAATGGGCATCAACAGCCCAAGACAGAGATGTGCTTTTCCTCGTCTCTTTCTCCCCAGTCATTTCTTTGTTTCCTGATATAGATTTGAATGTAAAGATGACCAGATGTTTGCCAGATTGGAGACATTAGGGATTTCTTTATTCGATTTGTTTGGTAACACTTTAATGTAAGGTTTGATTGGTAAACATTAGTTAATGCAGTAACTAACAATGAACAATGCATTTGTTACAGTATTTATTAGTCTTTGTAAACATTAGCAATACTAAAATACAACTTGCCATTGTTCGTTCTCATTAGTGTAAAGTCCCCATGAAATCAAAATGTTTGCTTACTAGAGCAGAGAAATGTAACCACGTGTTTGAATCACTGACAGAGCTGTTTGCTTTGAACTGTTTAATCCACAGGGATAGTTCACCCAAAAATGAAAATTCTGGCATCATTTACTCACCTTCAAGTTGTTCCAAACCTGTATGAATTTCTTTCTTCTGTTGAACACAAAAGAAGATATTTTGAAGAATGTTGGTAACCAAACATTTGATGGGCCAATATGGATTTTGATGACATCATTCTGCTCTCCAGCTTTCATTAGATTTTCTGTCCAATCATATGCTCTCTAGACGCCCACAAATAGACGCTGAAGCTGCAGCTAAAATCTATCACTTGTCACACAATTACTACTTTCTATATGGTGAATATTGGGGATAGAGAATGATTCAGACTGTCTAATAATGCTTTCCATTGGGGCAAATGAAGTCTGGTTTTCCGTTAATGTCACACGAACCGCGGACCGCCGCAGAGCGCACACACAGTCTGCTCCGGTCCAGAGACATGATAGCACAGAGTAGATCATATGATCGAAGCCACATCATTGCAAGCCGCAAAATGTATCTGACCAATTTGAATTCTACACAGAATTCTATATTTTAAAGCTATGGTGGAGATTAGGAGGAGAAACGGTTAGACAGACTTGGCGTTAGAAACAGCACTTATAGAAGTGATATGAGTACAACAGACCTTTTTTCTCTCAATTTTTGTTATAGCCTAATTAAGTATGTGTATTAAGCATACATCATTTTTGTTCACTGGATATTTGTGAAGATGTGTATTTTTGTACAATTGTATGATTGTCTTACACAACAGTAAAACATATCGAACAAACCACTCTTCCATCACCCACCACAACTTTGATTTTCTTTGCAACAGTTAATTCATACTTTGTACGTGACGTCACAAGTACTGGCTGGCGGGCAAGAACGTCGTTCTCTAGCAATGAAACCCAGTAAACTAATCAAGGATCTTGCCAGGACGTCGCCAATTTTAATGTACAAAAGTTGGTGTTTTAGGTGGTGTAAACGTAGGTGTAAACGACATGCCAGATAGTTGTTGTGCGATTGAATGCACTGTCAATCGTGTAATCCTAACATCAATGTGCTTACACGTTCGCCAGTAGGTGGCGAGAACGCGTTCATCTGTACTTGATTTGATATGATATGAGAAGATGAATACATGGAGAATTAATGACACGTTACTGTTGTACTGCGTCTACTTATTACTTACTTAGTTACTTTGCATGCAGGGCCGTTTGAAGGAATTTGGGGGCCCCAAGCAAAATGGACATGGAGGCCCCCCAAGCCCCAACTCACCCCCCCCACACACACACACACACACACACACACACTTACACACACTTTATATGAATAAAAAAGGTTTACAGTGCAAATACTGCTGTTGCATACTGTGCATAAAAAAATAAAAAATTACAGTGACATAAGCTATGAAAAAATCATGTTCCTCTGCCTTTTTCAGGTTAAATAATGTTTATAGATTAGATGGGTAAGGTTACAAATTATGTATTAAGTAAAAAGACTGTTTGCTAACAGTTAAATGACAATTAACTAAATATTAAATAACTAACAATTTACCATCTATTAATGATTGTTATTATAAAGTGTTACAGAAAACTTAAAGATATGTTAGCATTTCCATATTTTGATATTAGAAGGGAAGGGATGCTGCTTTCACTACCAAATGCTTAAAAACATCCCAAGCTAATGTTTGATGCACGGAATTTATTGTGTGGTTTTCCTAACCCCCATTGGTAAATAGATTATCACGGTGGAATAGTTATGCTATGCCACTTTCATCAAAACCTATTAGCTATAGCAATGTCATGTCATTAAATACGATAAAAAGTGATTCTGGAACTCCTTAAACCGTTAAAAAACATATTACAGTATGTAACGTTAACCATATTCCGTCCGTTCGGAAAAAATTTTTGCACTAACTGTTCGTTACAAGCAGCATTTGCCGTCAGGTAGGTAGCTAACATAAACATATTTTTGCTAGCCTAATGTTACCTGCTGCAAAATTATTACACCATTTGTACAAGACAAGTAGAGCTATTTTTATGCAGTGTAATTTATTACTTTATCACTATCTGGTATTTTTCTTAACCTTCTCTTCCTTTCTCTTCTTTCTTTTCTGGCTTCCTGAAGCATAATTCCGCTTCATGATAACTCCCGAGGCGGTTTGTATTTTGCCGGCAGCAGAGATCGTGTGGTTGGCTGGCTGCTGTCAGCGACTACTGAGGGGGCCCCCTTGAGGGGGATTCCGATAACAGTGTCATTGCACTTTACTGCATTGACTATCAAAGGGGCGCTCACAGTTTGTCGTTGCCTTTTATTCTTAAACAGTCGTTGTCTTGGGGCCCCAGTCCAGCTCGGGGCCCCAGGCAATTGCTTGGTTTGCCTGTCCTGTTCCGACGGGCCTGTTTGCATGCATACTATCGTACACTTATTACTATACTACATTACAGCCTAACATATTGCTAACAGGATTTTACGCATTTCGCTGCTCTTGTCTGTTGTCTGATGCTATGTGGAGTGGATAAGCAGGTAGGCTACAATGTTTGACATCCTGCTAGCCATATATGATACAGTTGGCATAAGTTTTTATTTTTTATTACTTATCAAGCTGTCATTCGCCGGAAGGCAGGGTGTGTACATATTCAGATGAAGACTTCATCATACGATGTCACTTTGTGTTTAGATGCAAACATTAGCAAACGGACCTTTGCTTTGATTATGAAGATATTCCTGTTTTTCACCTCCCATACGACAGCGTTGTTAACCCATCCACTCTTGACAAAAAGATAGCTATCTGTACTTTTGTAGGCTTTCATTTTTTGTGCGGTGGAAGGTGACGGATTCTCTATAAGATATATGTAAATATCTCCAAACTCCAAGTCTGGTAGAGACTTTGCCAGCTTCAAAGCAATGAAAACATCAGTGGGTGCTGTGTATGGATCACACGTTCCGAGTATGTTAATATTTTCTTGATATCCAATTTTAACATTCGGTGACATATGGTCTAAATAGTTAATTGATTGTAGTATTGGAAATTTGCAAGGCTGCAATTCCCCTGGCTGGCCACTGTTTGTCGCCATTTTGTCAGCGTTTGTTGCCCGCCAGGTATCCATGGTAGCCACGTGACTGCAAAGTATGAATTGGCCAGCTGGTTGGGAAGTCTTGGAGTCGCGTTTACCTATAGACTACACTCGTGAATGTCTCTCATTAACGAATACATGCGAACACAGATGTAAACAAACAATCATATTCTAAATGGAGAATAAAGAAGATTGATTGGAAAATTCTCATTTTAGGACGAGAAAAAAAGCAAACTTCAAATCCTCATTAAGAAAACAAAAGTGAGTGGTTGAGATCAGTCCTTTAAGTGCAAATGGATTGTAATTGCTCATTTGCATATGCATAATTGCAGTCCATTTATGCCGCGAGACCCGAAATGTCCTCCAACACTCGTTCAAATGAAAGGCTAGAAGCGCAAGAGTGTGCAATAATGGCCTGGCATGAAAAATTTATGGAGGAATACGGCACTCCAGCGTCTGCTAAGTGTTGTAGAGGGTATTTTGTAACATGGAGAGAGAGACCGTGTATCCTAATGTGAGAATTTTGTTGTATTTTTTTTTTTATTATTATGTTTTAAAGTTTGTACTGGTGGCCATATTCTGTGCTTCACTGTCCCTTGTTAATTAGTTTTAGTCCTTTTATAAAGCCTCTTCCCTGCACCCTTCACCTTTCTCAACTAGCTTTGTAGTACCACAGGTTTACTTTGATCTGGATTGAGTAATTCAATGATTTATCTTCTATTGTACTTATTGTTATATTATTCTTTTCAAATTTCAAGACAATTTAAATGCACTTTTTTGGTTTTTGCCTCTGTATTTGACAAATATAGTACAGAGTAAGAGGAAAAAGAGAAGTTAATGGGATCGGGAAACACCATAGGCCAAACTCTGAGCCAAGGCGAAATAATTTTCTTCTGTATGTATGTAGAAACTTTGTATTTAAAAATGTTCCTCTAAATCCTGTCAACGCACCATTGAGCTAAAGAATGAGACAATTTCAGATGTGAAATTCGCTTTTAAAGTTTTACGTTTTCGTCTCAGCACCGGCGGGCTGTCAAGTATCTTTCGCATAATCCTTTTCCCAGTAATTTGAAAGCGTTTTGTCCGTATACGAATAATTTCCCCTTACCTTACTATCTATTATCATTCACTGAACTGAAAAACCGATGGAAAAGTTAGATTTTATGGTGTCTTGCTTTTAAACCATGGCAGCCTCTTTCAAATCTATCACTTTATGCCCTTCATCACCTGCATTTTTGTTGAAAGGTGTCACTGAAGAACGGAAAAAGAGGAGCCGTAAAAATCATACCTGAACTGATAATGAGGTCGGAGAATGAATGAATAATTCTCTCATATCTTTTTTTTCTCACTATCTCCTTACAGTGTGACAGCGAGAGTGACATCGATGACAAGGTAAGACTTCTTTTCATGAGTGTTTGTGTGTGTGCGTCTGTTTACCTAACCCACCGTGCAGCGAGTAAGAGTGATTTTGGAGTTTATAGTATGAAAGGCTGTCGTCTTTCTGCATGTGTGTTTGTGTATGTGTGTAGATGACAGAAAATGGCTGCCAGTCTTGTGATTGTTGATTATTTGCATATTACAGGGATACAAAGGGAAACGCAGTGCGATAGAGAGCGAGTACACTTATTGCAGTGTTTTAAGCTTTCTGTGAGGTGTCATTGTGTTTGGTGTGTCAATTCAACTGCTTTGAAGTTGTTTGAACTAGAAAAGGAAAGTAGTCACCTGTCTTGATGTTTGTGCTAGTTAATTATAGACAGGAAGAACTATTGTGACCTTCACCAAAATAGGTGAGCACCTCCTATATATGAAGGGAAAGCTATCCTTTGTTAGCTAAAGTAATTGTAATTCTTATAATATTTAGTATTTTATGTTTCCTTGTCCTGTTTCTGAAAGATGGTATAAACGCCGTTTTTTGTTGTTGTTTTTTTACTTTCTAACAATTATTGTAAATGTCGCAGAACCATGGATTTAACCAATTAGAAAAGAGCTACCAGGGTGAAATTGCTATAATACATTGCAGTGATGTCCAGTTTGTGAAAGAATCGTTCTTTGTGTGTGTGTGAACTGGCTCAACCAGTTCACCAAATCGGACTGAACTGTCTGAAATAGTTCACGGCTCAAGTCAGCACAAGTTACTCAATCAAACTCACTTTCAGACACTCTGACAGCCACTGTCCGACATACTAAGAGCTGTGAGCCCAGGGATTCATAACGGGGGCAAAATGTATGTTTCTGGTGTCTTTTGCTGAAAAACAAAGTATAACAAATAAAAGGTATTGGAAATATAACAGTGATGCGATGGCAGTAGTTCTCGAGTCAAAAGCAATACGTAGCAGTTCTCTCTCGAGTCAAGAGCCTGTTAATGGTTACTACAGTTCTGGGCAGTTGATTTGAATGAGGGGTGAAATGAAAGGGTTTTTTAATGGTTTCTCATGGTTTATGTAAAAAGTTGATTAAGACTAGTTTATTCACAATATATGCTTTAGAAATCTAAAACTTTCACATTTCACATCATTATTGGTGCCTTTAATATTTAAATCGCGTATATGCGATATCATTGAGTGATTATAGAAACGAACTGGTGAATCGTTTTTTTTAACCAGTTCATTGAAATGAACTCTCAGAAAGAACCAGTTCACGGAAAGACTTCCCATCACTAATACATTGACCACAACCTTGATAGAACATGTATCTGTCTAACAATATACATAATTTGCTGGACATTTTTGATTTAAGAGAGTAAAATGTCATCTTTGGTTTATAATGTGATTTGTGATTGTGTCAGCGGACATTAAATGACTACTGTTTTCATCGAGGCTTTCCACAAGCTCCTCACAAGGTTTCAAAATAAACAACAGCTACAGACATATAGTAATGGGTAGATACTTGTCAGTTTATACATTGTCTAATTTGTTATTCAAATGCGCTCTGGTCACGAATGCTGTCGAGATTTGGTTAGCGGTTTGTAGGTTGCCAGATCTTTTTTCTGGTGGAATGTTTTTCCCAGCACCTTTAGCGCTTGTTTATCTTTTAATATTGATAACCCTAATATGTCTGTCACCCATATAAACAGCATGTAGCTCCAGTGGAAGTGTAACACGTGTTAATTCCCCTGCAGTTAAGCAATTACTCCCTGCTAAATGAATGTGATAGCATAACTAATCTCCTGTAAGCCAAGCTCCCAGTTCAGTGGAAAACGTCTCCGGCGTGCTCTATAAATAATACATTGATAGCAAGCAGCAATTTGCATTAACCGCAGCTCACGCTAGTCAATAGGCTTTTATCTCTCTCCTCATTGAGGCAGATGGTAAGAGAAAACCTCTTTGGATTTGACACGATGAAGAGAGGGACTTTTAGAGCCTGCTATTCTTTTAACACTAGTAGGCTTCAGAGAGAAGAGAAATGGGGTATTCCACACTAATTTTGGGGCCCTTTACTTTCTTTGTTTCTCTGTGGGCCTCTTTCTCTCTACCAGCCCATGTTCCTCAAATTCCTGCATCTTTTTGGTCAAACAAGTTATGTATGTGTTTGTTTATGTGTGCTTCTATGCATTTGAACTGATCGTAACAGATTTAGGGCAAAGAAGGAGGGAAAATAGAGAGTTTGTGGCATGTAGTCGGAGCCAAGTTTAAGACGTAAAGTCTTATTTGAATAATTCTGGCCTATTGGGATCAACTGTTTTTTTTTTTCTGCAGTTTTAATAATAATGTGCCTTATTTTACACAATTAAAGGTAGGCACTTTCGGAGAGGCTAGCAATAGCAAGTTAGCTTTGAAAGCATTAGATCTCGTCCTCCCTTCAGAGCGTCTCCAAAGCCACGCCTCCTTCAAAACACATGAACAGCCAGAGCAGATTCAGCAAAGTGTCATAAGAGACGGCGACGACTTGAGCAGAAACACTCTTTTACAGTGTAAGTATAGTCTTTGTACATAGCTGGCGTTGTACTCCCTCGGGTTCAGGAAGCTGTCCTCTCTAACCACTTTTGGGTTTTACTGCTCGGGAACAGCTTTATAAATAAACCTTAACCTCTGATTCCTAGTTTCATCTGTATTCAGAAGGTCAAACAAAGCGGTTTTGCTTTTGCATCCAAGCACACAGCGTCTCTGTGTCATTACAACAACACTTCAATTCACTGAAACCTCACCTTCTTTCTTTTGGCGGGCATTATGCTAATATTTCACATTGTGACGTAGACGTTTGAAGAAGTAATATCTGGACATTGATCGTGATGTTTTAGGCAGGTCTGGTTAAATCAGTGTTCTCTGTTAAATAGAATAAATCGCTTTGTGGGAGACATTTTCCAAATCATAAACATGCACAGATTCATTGACACTAAAGGAAAGGGAAAACATTAAAAAGCATCATATGACCCCTTCAAGTTAAACGTTTATTTTCCAAATCAATAATAATCCTATGGTTTTTCAGGTATGCCACTATGGTAATATCATTTTTTTTTTGGTCATGGAAATGCTAATCCAATACTATTTAAGTATTTTATCTGTAATGTATACATATAATGTATTCATAACTTAATTTAGTGTGATTTATAAGCTGTTTTCTTCATAGGGACGAAAAAATGTCCCCACAAGGTCAAAGATTTATGGTATTGCCATAGGGTTTCAGGACACACACACACACACTCATATACACTGTGTAAGTGTGTAGTATGTAATGGCTGCTGTACTGTATGTCCTATATGGAAACTCATTTCCAAGTTGTTGTTTTTGTAGAACCTGCTCTCTGTTACTGATTTCAGTTTTTAGTTTATTTTGCCATGTTACAAATAAATAAATAAAGATTGCAGCACATGGAGGGTAATTCTGTCCATGTTAAAGGCAGAAGCAGACTTTTCTTGCATCAGTGAGAAGAACATGTGGAAGCAATTGCAGCATTCAGAGTCAGAAAGAGTTTGTGTCTCTTAGAAAGAATTAATCAGGTAGATTTCTTGTCCTTTTTTCTGAGAGCTTGTGCTAGAGATAATAGTTCTAGGTTAGAGGGCATTGAGAAGATGAGCCATGGTTGTCATGGTGTTTGTGTCCCAGGTGCGCTGATGAATAACTCATAGATGTTTTTCTATGCGCATATACTTCTTAAACTATGAGCATAAGCAAGATCATACTTACCTCTTCGAAAATCAGTCTTTCATAATTGCTTTGAATAAAAAAAGATTCAAAGATTTGTAATTATATACATTAAAATCTATTATAATGCATTAATCTTTCCCTCCTGTTGAATAGTAAGAGGTGTCTTATCTCGAACAATAGCTTCTTTGAACAGTTGCAGGAAGAACATCATGGCATTTTTACACATTGCTACATTATAAAACGGCCTACAGGTGCACTGGAGGGCCGTGATCAGTTGGGCTTATTTGAATAAAATTGCTTCATAGATCGAGTCCACTTATTAACAAAGACATCACGACTTGTTCAAAGAAAACAGCATGTACAGTGCATGACAGATGATACCACCTGAGGGCGAGATCCATCCCTAAAATTACATGAACAGTTGTGGCCAAAGGTTTTGGAACTAGCTGAAGATAGTTGATACATTTTGTATTTGTATTCATATACAGTTTTGTATGGTCTTTGTTTGCATTGTTCTGCCTGTTTTGTACAATCATTTCCTGTTCTGAAATGGCTGACAGCTGTTTTTGTGTGTGTTTCTAAAGAAAATGATTTCTTTTAAAGGTTTCTGTAAAGAAAGATTGGATTTTGATAAAGAACCCATCTGATGTGATTCAACTCTTTATCTGGATACATTTTCGTGCCCCCAGTATTTTTCAGTGTTTTTAGCAGATTTCTAGCTTATATTGGAATGTTAAGTCTTATACTGTAGTATCTTAAAGTCAACATTTGCATAATTGCCTAATGCATGTTTCTTTATCTTTGCATGTTATTCCAACGGAGTTATTTGGCATGTTTAATCATTGTACTTTTACAAGATTACTTTTCCACTGATGGCATTGAGGCTGTGGATTGGATGCTTGTTCTAATAGTTGTTTGTAATGTCCACTTTTCACGGTCCAGTTACTTCCATATGTTTAAAATCAAGTCAGGTCCTTTGAATTTTATTCATTAAATGTCTTATTTTATATTACACGAGTCAGATTGATTGTCAGGAATGTGGCAAAGTGGGAAGTCGATTCTAACTAATTGGTTTGGATTGGATTCGTTTGATTCATTGCTCACAAAATGTTGTTAGGATACTGCTATTTATGACCAAGTTGGGTTTTTTTTGGTAGTATACAATTACTATCCAAAAATCTGGGGTTTGGTAAGAATGTTTTTTATTTTTTTATTAATCCTTTTATTCAGCAAGGATTGGGGCCTCAAACTGATCAAAAATTACACTAAAGACATTTAGAATGTTACAAAAGAAGGCCCAAGGAGAAA